CTCCGGGGCCGCCCCGGCGCAGAGCCCGCCGACTACGCGAGGCAAAACCCCCGCCGAGGCGATGGGGAATTGCCACGGCGATAGTTACTGCTCCATGGACGCCAAGGGGCAGATGAAATTCCACCGGGGGAGTCGCACAGCAGCTCGGGGTCTCTCGGTGTCGCTGCTGCGGCCAGAGCTTACAATTAATAGAGCAGCCTGCTCCGCGCCTGTCTCTCGGGACCGGGCAGGCCCCACGCTTCTAACTTGTCCTCTAATAGCATCAAATTAGTATTTAAAACGCATGTCACAGCCCAGAACAAAAAGTTCGCTTCCCCTAGGAAAGTTCCACTTTCTCCAAAGAAAGATAAACAAACGTATCAGAGAAAAGAAAATACTAAAGCAATATCAAACGAGCAGAACACCACAATCCACCCCCCCGCCCCGAACAAAAACAGCCAGTCTGCAGCTGTCCAAACCTGGTCTGCGGTGCAAAACATGAGCCTGAACAGCTCCAGCCACCGCTGCGCACGAAGCACACCATGCACCAAGAAATTAAAGATGCAGCAGGATTTCTGCTTTCAGGTGACACGCGACGCGGGTGTGTGTATCGTCTGGCTGGACGTTATCTGGCAGAGGATGGAGGTGAATTACTAAGTACTTTGACGTTAAAAATATGTATGTTATTGATCAATAAACGGGGTGGCAAGGAGTATTCTTTTAGCTATTTAGCTCTGTAAAGTAACTGGCAATCTGTAAACGTTTAGTACTTCTAAACCACCTGTTAATAATGAAAACATTCTCCTCCTTCCGCTACCAGAAAGCACACCTCTCTGGAAATGCACTTAAACACCTGCCTGACTTTTACCACAACTCAAAACTAAGCATACGCTGAAGTGTTATCTTGCACTGGCATGGACAAAGCGTCTGCTTAAGTGATTTTTCTGAATCAGAAACAAAATCCTTATATTTAGAAGTCTGTAAAGAAAGGGAAAAAGAGAGAAAAAAGGACTGATTTATTTTATATCATATAGAACTGAAACAAAGGGGAGCCTAGAAAATATAACTGTTGTTCTCACAAGGCATAAACAGCCAAAGAATCAGTAATAGCTCCAGCTTCACCAGGGAAGACCTTTCAAGGCATGCGAAGCACAAAATACCTTCACCCTGGAGCTCTGCTGGCCTAAGACACATATTGCTAACAAGTTTTGGTACTGGTTTCTTTCATTTATCTTAAACCGCCAAAAACACAGAGCATATTTTAAATTATCCTTTGATACTCTCTCTTTCATCGTAACGTGTCCGAAACAATATGTGTATCACCTGCACATTAGATCATCCTGAACACTGTTAATACACAGCTTATTAAATACTGAAGTTGAGATGCAGACAAGCAGGATGTGATTCACTATTGCTGCCAACTGCTTCTGAACACTTATGTCTTTAGCCAAATCAACATCAACACTCAGATAAAGCAAGTAACGACTTAAAGCCTTGCTTTATCTTAACAGTTAGCAGGAGCAGTCCATCAACTCCTGCCTATCTGTATCCCAACCACAGTATTATTAAGCCGTATTTTAGTATCATAAGTTTAGTAGTGTATCTATGAATGTAAATCTGACTTTCATCCATGGCAGTAATGAAATAAATCATACTAGAAAGAGAACCAGCTATACGATTAACTTCTTTCATGTCATATATAGTCAACACAGAGAGAAGCCAGGGAAACACAGGGGATGCTCTTGAGAGGTAGAGAGTTACTAAAAACAATAGCTCAAGATTATGTCTATGGAACCTGGAAAAGAAGACAAAAACAACTTCTGGACTGTTTGCAACTGTCTGGAGGGTATCTCAGGGAGCTCCAATGCCCACATGCCAAAGGCCAGCTACATTTTTGCGGGTTACCTTTTGGTTTTCTGTGTCTCTGTATGTTAGCCCGAAGTAGTCTTTTTCCAAAAGGTTCAGATGCTCGCACACTTTGTCGAATAGCACTTGACCTCTGGAACGTTTCTGTAGAAAATGAACAGGGGGAAAAAAAAAATCATGTTTTCAAAATAAAGTAATATAAGCATTAAAATAACACCTCTTCTGTTTAATCCTCGAATCAATAACCCCCAAATGATTTAATTCAGCTCATCCATCTTTGAAACCTATTGACCTTGAGCTTTGTAAGAATCTGCAGAATGGGGCCAATCTGCTTTCCATGAAAGTTCAGGTCTTACTGTGGAGTTAAAAGTAAGTCAATACATGCCATGTTTCAGATCTTCAGGAGAAGATCTCAGGGACGATGCACTGGAGGAAAAACAAATGCGGAGACATTTCTTGCTTCGGTAACAGCATGGACTGATTCTGGGATCTTTTTTTGTCTAATAAATGGGGAAATGTGATTTACCCATCTACTGAAATGGCTGAAAGAGCCTCACTGGGAAGACAGCTGGGTAAGAAAGTAGTTTTCCTGTGTCCCACTAACCTTCTTTACTGCTAACACATTAGATGAGCAGATCTCTCACTGTCAACAACCAGAGCCCTTAGCAGAAGCTCTGTAGTATCTCTTGCATTGGACAGTAAAAATTCAGGTCATCCTAGTTCTCAGTATAATATGTGACATTGAAAAAAAAAATCTCCAAAAAAACAAACGCAGATAGAAACATCCTCTTTATAAGCTACGTGTGCCCACTTCGATGTGCATTAATTATGAGGTACAATTCAAAATTATGTGGGCCACTCTTTCATCACTGCCTGCTTCCCTAAGTGCACCTCAGCTGAAGGAAAAAATCTCACCACTTTATATTAAACAGACACATAAATATTTTAGTTGACGTCAGTGCCGCATTTTCTTTATCTGTAGCATACACATGACTCGCAGCGGACGGGAAATATGCTACACGCTTCAAACGCAGTGCAGGAGGCTGACACAAAAGAGGAAAGAACGCTGCTTCCAAATTCACGCGCCTCCACCAACAGAGTCGCGCGCCCAGACCGCGCTGCCAGCACAGCCGCCTTGGCCAGGGAGAGGGTGGATATTATACTGAGTGGAGAAAAATAAGCAGGCCAGCTCTAGAGGAAACCTGCTTTGAGAAACATCATGTCTGCACCACTTATATGTCTTTGAATTGTGACACTTCAACGTCCTCTTAATTTTGAGTCACACAAGGTCAACACAGGAGCTGTTTTACGTGGCCGATCCGTGAAGCTACACAGATGTCAGCTTTGAGAAACAGTAGCTAGCAGCTGCAAGGTACGGTGTTTTAATAGGGAATTAGAGGAAACAGTTGTGTGGGGCTGTGCTGTAATAAAAACCAACCAACCAAAAAGCCCCCAACGCTCAGGATTTCTTGTTTGGCTACTCATTGCAGGCAAGTGAGAATGAGTATGGAAAGCCTGGAATAATTTGCATGGCTCATTTTTTGTCCATGACAAAATGGATCCTCCTCCTGCAGGGAGATGCCTGAGTTGTAGTCAACCACTTTCCACAAAATTAAAAAAAAACCCTGCCACAAGAGGATGTCAGAAAAACCACGACAGCCCTTCCCAGTAGGGGTCCTCTCTTCACCAGACACCAGGTATAAACTGGTGATGGTTGAGAGAATGAAGCCTTACCAGGACCACTTTCCTTCTCACTGGCCACAGAAACACCCACAGGCGTCCAGCCAGATGAGCCGCACGTTGCAGTGCCTGAGCGCCTCTTCCCAGGTCGGAGCTGACCCGTGGGAGCAGGATTTGAGGGCTCCTGTCATTTGGGGAGCGGTGGCTGCCTGGCAATGTAGCCACGACCGATGCCCTCCAAATCCTTGTGTACCTGCGTATACGCAGCACTGGACGCACACCCTCTTTCTAAAACAGTGTGGCACAAAAACACAGTGAGGGGAGGCCACTGCGTTAATCCATGGGGAATAAGAGGTTTAGTTACGAACGTCTAATTAAAGCAACTGAACAGACCTCCCGTGCTCTTGTTAATTGCTTTTATTTTACCACGTGCCCAAATAAGCATGCCAGACAAGGCATGAGTACCATTGCTTTGGCAGGGAGAGAATGGGAGGAGGAGGAGAGAAAGATCACGTTATAAATTCATAGAGCTTCTCAACCCATCCTACACCTTTGCTTTCCACTATTTTGGAGTGACAAGTCTAAGGCGATGGAAGACTGAGAGTCTGCTGGTTACTGTGGATCACCAGTTAATGCCAAACATGCCAACCAATTCTCAGCAGCCCAAAAAATGTGGATTAAAAAAAAAAAAAAAAAATCAGACTTCATACTATAAAATACTGGCCCTGTAAATGAAGAGTTTTTCTGAAAGGTAAATATGGCAAAAGTCTCCTCCAGAAATATTCTTAGCTGTTTTTCAGGCCTGAACGGGATGAAGTTAAACGTGCAGCTGTGGAAAAAGAGACACTTTGCTTAAGCTTTGGGAAATCAAGACAACAGAAAGAATGAAAAACACAGCTTGAACGGTATAAACGAGTACAAAAGTCCGGGAGCAAAACCTTTACGCTTTTCACAGCCTCCTCCCTGCAGCTCTGTAGAGGCCAGGGCTCTCGCTGGAAGCTGGAATGGGAATAAACAGCCTCCTGGTCAAGCTCCCAGTGAAAGGAGCCAGCAGCAGTGAACTTGGCAAGCCTGCGCCCGCCAGCAACTCCCACATGCGAGGGAGAGGAGGAACAGCCTCTCTCCTCGCCAGCTTCTCCCCCGGTTTTGGAGCCACAAAAGGCTGCCCTGTCCCCTAAACGGCTTCTCCAGAAACAGGCCACGCTCAAACCCCTCTGCGTCGGCTTCTTCAGCCTATACCCCTCCACCCCACCCTCATCCCCTTACAAGACCACCAGTCCAAGATTACATGTTGTACATCACTGAGAGCGAGGAGCTCAAAAGTAAGTACTTTCACCTTAGCTCCGCATAGATAACAAGATTATTATAAAGTCAATTATTGTAATGGGTGAACATGTGGGTACAACGTCTGGTATTTCTTAATGCAGAAAAATGAGAAAGTTTTTCTTCATTATGATTAAGCCCATAAGCTGTACAGTACTTACGATAAACAAACATTACTAAAGTGAAAAAACGCAAGACTTTGTTATAGATATGTTGTCACTTCAGTCACAAAAAACATATTGCGCATTAAAATCACCACAGCATCACAGACTGGATGCAGCTTGTGGGCACCTCAGGAGATCAACTAGTCCAACACCTCTGCTAACGCAGGGCCACCTCGGGAAGGTTGCTCAGGATCATGTCCACTTGGGTTCTGAGTATCTCCAAGGACAGACAGCCTGCCTGGGCAACCTGTGTCAGTGTTTGACCACCGTCATAGTACAAATCGTTTTTCCTTCCATTTAAATGGAGATTCCTGTATTTCACTTTGTGTCCATTGCCTCTTGTCCTGGCTCTGGGTACTGCTGAGAACAATCTGTCTTCTTTACTCCTCCCATCAGATATTGATACACATTGGTAAGATCCCTGAGCAGTCTCTTCTCCAGGCTAAGCAGTCCCAGATCTCAGCCTTTACTCATAGAAGAGATGTTCCAGTCCCTTTCACCATCTTCATGGCCCTTTGTTGGACTCTCTACAGTATGTCCGTATCTCTCTTGTACTGGGGAGCCCAGAACTGGGCCCAGCACTCCAGGAGTCACCAATGCTGAGTAGACAGAAAGGATCACCTCCCTCAACCTGCTGGCAACACTGCCTAATGTGGCCCAGGATGGCACTGGCCTCCTTTGCTGCCAGGGCACATCGTTGACTCTTGTCCCCCTTGTTGTCCATCAGGACCCTCAGGTAATAATAAACCCAGTACTGTAGCAATCAAGCTACCAAAACCATATGTTACTGTACCGTGATAAGCAATGAGGAAAATTACAGGGGAAATGAGCAACCAATAATGTAATTAAAAGATGTGACACCAACTTCCTTGTCATGTAGATGCTTGTAAGACCCCAGGAACCCTCTTTGCCATTTAGTACAATATAAAGGAAGAGATCAGGAAGACTTCCAATGTCATATGCTGAACTGTGTTTCCCAGACTGGAAGCTAGTTGGGCGAGAAGAACATTTATCAGGATCCAGAACTGCTGCTTCCAAGGGGCAAATTTTGCTTCTGTGCAAGAGAGTAGGCTTGGCTACCCCAAGCCAGGAGACATCATCTTTCAGAAACATCTTCTTCAAGCTGGTGTGGCTCAAAGTTCAGCAATTCTGCCCTGCCCCTGAAACAAGGCCATTTGCCAACTGCCTGCGGGGCATTTTGGCAGCTGCCTTGGTGACGCAGCCTGAGCTTCTCTTCCTATGCACCCTCACCCCAAGCAACACACCTTCACTTGCTGGATAACCACCAGCCTACTGGACCGGCCACCTTTCCTAACTTTATTCCCGCAGAGAAGCATCCGTGCTGAGGACCTGTCACCAGTCGGGCTTCTTCCAAACTGAATTCAACTCTCCACCTGACAAATTTCTTCCTGGAAGGGTAATGCTGTACTGGGACCGGTATCTCAGCAAGACCAAGGAGCCTCTCTTCTTGGGGGGGTTTCAAGGCATTGGTCAGGCAATGTCACAGCTGGCCTTGACCCAGTGTTGGCCATCACCCTGCTCAAATCTGGGGCTGGCCCAGCTGGCCTCCCCAGTTCCTTCCAACACGCACGGCTATGATACTGGGATGCCTGTGCACCTCCACAGACGCTAAGGAGTTAATTGTTGTATACCTGATTAAAGCATAGAGTGTTAGTCTACTCTCAGTCTATTTTTACTCATGAGCAGATTACCTTCCTCTCACTGATACAGAACTAGGATGAGGAGCTGAAGAGCAGAAAACAGCACCCTCAACTTCCTAGAAATGAAAGCTATTGCAACCTCCAAAGTGTCGCATTTTGGAGCAGTTCTATTTTTGCATCCGACACTGCAGTCTCACGTGGATGCAAAATGCTGAGCAAAGGCTGGGGGAGGAAGCTGTCTGCAGCACGCAGGTATGCCCCTCCTGCTCAAAAGCAATTACAAGAGATCACATTTAGACTGAGTCTTACAGACAAG